TACATTCGGGCAACTCCACCTCGACGGCTACAAGGGCGCTCTCGGTCGACCGTAACTGTACCAGCTTGGACCGCAAATTTATTGGCGTAACGCGATTGTCATGGTCAGCAACTACAATCTCCCATCCCGCTCCTACCACCGACCATGGTCATCCTTAACTAGTTCAGCTTCATCCACCCATCCACCCCAACCTGCCCCATCTCCATCTTCACATATCCCCCCTCTCCCTCCCCGCACAGCTCCCACGCCGCAGCCAACACCACCCGGCTCCCCCGAAGTGATCAACACACCTCCTTCTCCACCCCACCCGACCCAGCAGCCACGTCGTCCCATCGTCAGCCCCGCTTCTGAAGTCTGAAGATGTCAATCCACCAGCCCCCACCCCTCCTTCATCACCTTTTCCTCGTCATCTCCTAGTCATCTTCACCTCTCTTAAATCTGAATCATCACCCAACTCTCTCCCATCACCTATACGGAAGTTACTCCAAGGCTACGCCAACGCGTTCCCCGAAGATCTTCATGCCGAACTTCCACCCGACCGCGCTATCGACCATAACATTCGTCTCGTCCCTGGATCTACACCACCATCCGGCCCTACATATCGCATGACCACGGTCGATAACCTACGCCAAAGTCTTCAATTGTCTAACCACCTCGCCCTACACTGCCCCTGTGCTTTTCACAAGGAAGAAAAAAGGAGATATGTGCCTTTGTGTGGATTACCGTGTACTCAACGGCATCACAATCAAGTACAAGTACCCGCTGCCCGTATTGAAGAACTCTTCGACATGCTTCGAGAAGGGACCGTGTTCAACAAAGTTGATCTACACTCCAGCTACCACCAGATTCGCCTTGCCGAAGAAAACACTCCTAAGACGGCGTTCTGCACCCGCTATGGTCATTTCAAGTTCCGTGTTCTACCATTCGGCCTCACCAATGCTCCAGGCACCTTCATGGGCCTCATTAACGACATTTTCAGACCTTCTCTTGATCGTTTCGTCGTCGTGCTCCTCAACGACATTCTCATATTCATCAAGTCCCTCGAAGAACACACGCAACATCTTCGCATCGTACTTGATACACTCCGCCAACACCGCCTCTACTCTGAGTTGTCGAAGTGTACTTTCGCTCGTTCCAGCGATGGATTCCTTGGACACATCATCAGCTTAAAAGGCATCGCTATAGACCCCACGAAGGTCTAGTGCCTTGTTGATTGGCCAGCACCAAGCACGGTAGCAAAGTTGCAAAGCTTCATCGCCTCACCAAGTACTACCGCAAGTTCATCTTCAACTTCTTGCATATCTGCTCTCCCTTGACCGACCTCTTTTGCCAAGGTGTTGTCTTTCAATAGGAACAACCTCAACATGCTGCTTTCACTACAATCAAGGCGGCCCTAACTGCTGCACTTGTTCTCACCGTCGCCGACCCATCACGAGATTACTTCATTTGGACGGGTGCTTTTGACGTTGCTGTTGGCGCCATTTTTTGCCAAGATCTTAGACATGGGCTGCAACCAATAGCTTTTGAGTCCTGCAAGCTTCAACCTAACGAACGCAACTACGCCACCCATGACTGTGAGCTGCTTGCTATCATTCATGCCAATTAAAACATTGCGTTGCTACTTAGAGCTTCAACCTCTCACCGTCTCATGCCGGTTGATCTTAGACCTATTCAAATCCAAGAATCGAATTTTTATTGCATAAATTATTTCGGGAATTAGGAAATAATCCTGAATGTCAACAATGGATGTTTGTAATCCATTCCTACCAACCGTCAAGTGTAGAGCTCCCGAAAGGATTGTGAGGAACCCTGGAGCTTTCAAAACTAGGTCTTACGTGCATGGACAAATGCTTTCAAAGGGTTGTCAAAGTGTCCATTACACATTTAGTGTTCAAATGGTAACATTCGGCTATCCATGCAAATCATTTTCAAAATGTGTGTAAACCCGGTTATCCACTTCGGCCACTAGGAATATCAATATTCATGCTATGCTCTTCGCCGCTGCATAGGGATGAGCAAGAAACAAACGCAAACATGTTTGTGTTCGCCTTTGCCGTTCGCCTTCACAGGCAAACACCTTGGTGTTCGAGGCAAACACGAACGGGTTCGTGGAAAAAATGCTCGTGTTCGCCCCGTGACAGCATTCTTTATAGTCACACATTTGTGAATTGTGGATTGTTGATGTTTGTTAGGTGGGCTGTAAGGTTCAAATCGAGTAAAACTCAAATCGTGGCACATTTCCTTCCCCACCCCCAAGCCAGTCCTGCCCTGCTTCATCCATGCTAGTGCCAGGACATGCGTGTAACTGACGACAAAATGCCTTATCTTCACTTAAATGGCAGAGAAATGCCCGATCTGCACTTAATTGACGGCGGAATGCCAGATTTTCACGTAAATGGCAGAGAAATGCCCGATCTGCACTTATTGACGGCGGAATGCCAAATCTTCACGTAAATGGCAGAGAAATGCCCGATCTGCACTTAACTAACGGCGAAATGCCAGATCCACACTTAACAGACAGCCAGATCTGCACGTTAATGATGGCGAAATGCCAGATTCGAGCGTAACAGATGGCGAAATCCTAGATCCGTGCAGATCCCATGAAGAAATGCTCGACGAACACATTTGTGCGTGTTTGGCGGACCCCTCTTCTGAACACGAACATGTGCGTGTTCGGCGCGGCTCGGGTTTCCTCGCCGAACCGAACAGGAACATGTTCGGACGAACACATGTTCGTGTTTGGCGAACACTTTGGGCCAAAAAACACACCCTGTTCGGTTCGCTTCAAACATGTTCGTGGCGAACCAAACAGGTGTTTGCCCTCCTGCTCACGCCTACCGCTGTAGTAGTATATACATGTTTGCATACTCGCACAGCATTTCAGAACGGATCCTCTTATGTTAACTCTTAGTCCATTCTCGTCATTCTGCTAGCTAAGAATTTCTGTTACGAATCCAATGTTGAAGTATAGATATCCCGACTGTGTTCACACTCGGATAGGCACCTCGTGTCACATCCATAATCACTTTGCCAGCCACCCATAACCGCTTTACTAGTATTATTTCATGTGTCATTATATGCTTACATCATGACTTTTTTCATAATCTGTTTCTTCTCCTCTCTCCCCCCAACTACTTACCCTATCTTGCTCTCAATTGGATGTAACTCTTCGTGTGTATGTGCCATCAGGTTTCTGCAAAACAACAGTTTTACTGGTTCTATTCCATCCACTCTCGGCAGCATGAGCAGCCTTGTATACCTGTCAGTATCAAGGCAAATCAATTGTGGTTCTTGCTTTGGCTTGAAAGGCTCTGATTTATTCCTTCAACTACAGCCCAAGCTGCTTTCTGGTTTGATTATGAAGACACTAAGCATGAGGAAGGAGAGCAGGGGGCAACCCACAGGGGCCATCGAGGCCCATTAGCAGTCAATGGTCATTTTTGGGCCCATCTATGAGGGGTCCATCACAGGGGCTTCCCACTAAACCATGTAAAGTTGAAACCTTTCCACCTAATCCGTGACAGTGAGCAATGGGTCAGCCTGACACCAAGCCTAATTGATGTAAAATCACGTGGCGAGTGGCAGGGACTGACAGCTGATCCACAAGAGTTTGAGATGCACCTGGGTTGGCCCTTGCCTGACCCTTTGCTTATGTTTCATTACCACGCAGCCTTGGCCAGAATGTGGTTTCTCTTCCTAGACATGTGCTACCATTGATAGAAGTGAGGGAGAAGCGGATCGGTTTTAGGTATCAGCGAGAGCAAGAGCAGAACCTAGGCCGGTTTGGTGTATGCCTCACGGCTAGACATGACGACCGGGACGAGATTGGGAGGGGGTTTGGGCTGGGTAATATTCTCAGTTTCATAGCCGTGGTCCATCCGTTTGAGTTGGGCCAAGAATGAAAAGCTCATGAGTGGTTCAGCATTTGCCACCATCACAAATGTCTTTTAGGAGGCATGAAAGACTCTTCACGAAGATAGGCCAAAGACAATTGTTTGAAATTGCCATGAGCCTGTAGGCTGACTAGCCGAACGTTACAATGTGCAAGAAAATATCTACTTTTTAAGATTGGCCGTAAAGAATGGTATCGCAAATAACGAAAAGGCATTTGGGTGGAAAGAAAACCATCGTTTTTTCACTACCAAGGCCAAATTGCTGCTGTAACATGGGCATTTTTTGTGGGTAGGGTGAGGGGACTGTTAGAAGTGCTGATGATGAACCAGGAAGTCTGTGATGGAGCGTGCAATGGGATACTATTAAAAATAATAATTAAAAAGAAAAAACGCTTTTTTATTGACAATTCTTATTTTCCACCTAAATCGCCTCGGACCTATTCTTGTCCTCGAGCTCAAAATTGAGCTCCCTGTTTGACAATTTGCAGGATCATATGTGTCTGGCATGCTCAGGTGGCATGTGCCCTTCGTCCAGTAGCGATGGGGTTTGTCACGGTCCATCAGTTAGAAGCAGCCTGGTTTGCCATCAAGAGTCAAGTTAGCGGTGCTTTGATTGGGTCAATCCTGTCTGCTATCTTTCATTTTCATTGCAGCAATGTCAGTTGGAACAATCTCACTGGCCAGCTCCCTCCAACATTGGGCAATATTGCTCGTCTGTTTGACCTGTAAGGCATCTTTGCATATAAAATGCTGCAATTTCCATTGTAGACAACCTTGAAGCGTTTTGCGAAGAGGAGGTATTCCACTGGTGTACCAAAGGCCAAATTTTGTTGCAGGTGCAGCCATAGGTATCCAAATCAGCTGGGCCTGACTTGGGCTGGTCCAACCCAATTCTCTTCAGCTCGATAGCGATCAAACCTTTCTGGTGCACATCACTTCATTTGCTATAGCTGGCACAGATGAATCATGTATGGTTGACTCAAAATCACAACCTGTACAAAATCTTGCCTTAGTATAGTATTGCAGTGTGCTACCATACTTCAACAACCTCAGAGAGTTTCACTCAAATCAGAAACCCGTTGATGAGTGATAATTTGAGAACACTCCATGTGGACATGCAGGGATATAAATTCAACGGCAATCACATGCCCTCCTGACTACGGCAGCTGCATCGTCCCACAGACCAACTCAAGTGCTTTCTGCACTCAGTGTCCCTCCTTCTGCACCACGTGTGACAAGTCTCCACCAGGTTAGACGCTCCTTATGCAGGTGGCTGCTTTTTGTACTGCCATTTGTACTTTGCTCTCATTAGTGCTGAGTGGGTAAACATTGCATTGCCACCTACTTGGCTAGATTTTGCAGTGTCAGGCACAGTAACAAGCATAGCTTAGCTACTCATTGTGTGCTTCTTTTGCAAGCCTCCTCGTGGATTTTACTGAAGAATACCTGTTTCAACTCTTCAATGCATTCCTTTGCTTCCTCTCCCCATGCAAATTGTTCCTAATTCCACATCCATTTCACCAAGCCCATCATCATCCCCACGTTTGATTGCCTTTTCCATTCCCAATCTCTGTCTTTCTACCCCATGATTTTACCCTCCCCATAACCAGTGCCGAAACCCTCCCCATCACCAACACCCTCCCCGTCGCCAGTGCCAACACCCTCCCCATCGCCAGTGCCAACACCATCGCCATTGCCAGTGCCAACACCCTCCCCATCACCAGTGCCAACACCATCGCCATCGCCACTGCCAACACCCTCCCCATCGCCACTGCCAACACCCTCCCCATCGCCACTGCCAACACCCTCCCCATCGCCACTGCCAACACCCTCCCCATCGCCACTGCCAACACCCTCCCCATCGCCACTGCCAACACCCTCCCCATCGCCACTGCCAACACCCTCCCCATCGCCACTGCCAACACCCTCCCCATCGTCAGTGCCAAGCCCCTCCCCACCTCCTCCCACGTTAACTCCCAGTGAGCCTACACCCTCTTCCTCCCAAACTGGAGGCGGTTTATCCAGCGGAGCCATAGCTGGCATTGCTGTTGCTGGGGCTGTGGCTGTCCTTGTGCTGCTGCTGCTGAGCTGGCTGCTGTGCACACAATGCCACACCAAAGGGGCAGCAGGAGGAGGCGAAACTGATATGGATGGCAAAAAATCAGCAAGTACTTGTTCTTTTCAAGGTAAGATATAATTGTAGACGCCTAACCTAGATGAAGCAATCACAACGCAAGCAATCGAAGTAAAAGCTGGGTGTCATCAAAGCCTAAAGATCACTAACACATTCAACTATAAAAGAAAACACATGGGTTTTTACTCACCACATTCCAGCCCAGGTTCTTGCAGATGCCAGGTAGTCCTTTTGGTTCGGACTGACTTATGAGTTTTGGGTTGGAATCGCAGAATCTTCAGCCTGGATCTAATGCTTCGGATGCAACACTTTATCCCATACTTGCTGGTGCTCCACGGAAGTATCTGTAATGACACTGTCTTTTGCCTCCAGCTCTATGTGAAATAGGCATGAGTAAACCACATCACCAATTTTGTCTGGTTTTTTTTTTTTTTTTCCAGTCGAAAACAAACTGGTTAAAGGTCAAAGCGAAACGGTCCGAGTCGAACTAGGTAGTGAAATGTAGGCTCTGGGTCAAACTGGGCAGGTTCGGTTCAATGGGGGAAGATGAAAATTCAGGCTACAGTTTTATGTCAGTCAGGGTCTATTGCCATGATATTGAACAGCCACACAGCTATGGATTCGAGTCGAGATGGCGGTGCAAGGGTCGGTGAGAATGTTCACCACGGATGTCACTGAAATCATCTTCTTGCAGACAATTCGTCCGTCCTTAACCTCAATCTGCCAGGTTTTGTCGAATGACGCCATGGTGCTTGCTGGTCCTTCCTGGGCCATTAGCAAACCAGAGTAGGTTGTTGGGGATTCCAGACCCTTCTTTTCTTTCAGAGTGGTCACTTGCCCTTCTCTTTCTCTTCAACCGACTCTTACATGTCATTGCAGGACCAAATTATGAGGATATGGATGAGAATCCAGCAGCAGCGAAAGGGGAAGCCGAAGCAGCTGCAGCAGCTGCTGCAGCAGTGCTACCACTAGTAACAGCACAAAGGAGGCAGGATGATGTTGTGGTGGAGATGGATGCAGCACGGCCATACGTGTGTCGAGAGTACTCCTTGACAGAGCTGGCCAAGGCCACGGGAGAGTGGGCAGAGGGGAACAGGATAGGAAGTGGTAGCTTTGGGGATGTCTACAAGGGTGTGTCGCCCCACGATTGTAATCAAGCCTGGGCAGTCAAACGAGCTCGAGTGCTCACCAACGACTTCCAAAGAGAGGTACCATGGTGTGAGTTTTGTTGATATGTTAGTGTCAAGTTCCTCTACCAACTCCAAGCATAACTGGTGGTCCAATGATTCGATCTCTTGAGCTGTAACTGTTTTCCCAATCAGGTGAAGGAGATGGCAAGTAAGCACCATCCGCATCTCGTGCGGCTTTTGGGCTATTGCATCGACCTCGACCTGTCCACACGACTCATGGAGCAGATTCTCATTTACGAGTTCATGCCCAATGGCGACCTTGAGAGCTGGATCGGTCCCGGTGTCTCCCACCCTCTTTCGCTTTGTCAAAGGCTTGACGTTCTGGTTGGAGTGGCAAAGGGGTTGCAGTATCTTCATGACTTCGGCATTGTGCATCGCGACATCAAGCCTGCCAACATTCTCCTTGATGGAAAAATGCAGGCATGTCAATATTGTCGTAAGCCTGGATGTACATGGTGTAATTTGCCTACTATCAAGTGGTGTTTTGGAGTTGCCTAACATGCTCCTCATCTTGCATACTATTGCTGTTGTTTTTTATGGGCAGGCAAAGATTGCAGATTTCGGGCTTGTGAAGCTTGGTGGGGGCACCACTATGGGCACGTCTGTGGCTGCCACTCGAGTGATGGGAACACCGGGCTATGTGGACCCTGCCTATTTCAAGTCTCATAAGGCCACTCCGGCAGCAGATGTGCACAGGTGAGCAGATTGGCACAGGTGAGCAGAGTAGGTAGGCTAGCAAATTCGTGCAGGTTATCACATTGGCATGAGAAAACCGCGACGCGAAGGTCAGCGATGAGCACATTGGCATGAGTACTATTCTCGCAAGCTTCCAGAGTTGATGAGAAATGTTGATGAATGTTTCTCTTAGTCAAGACAGGGATTGAGCTTAGGCAATGCTTTCTACATTTCCTTTGCCTCACAGGAAGTCCATGCCTGATGTTGATGCCATTTTCATGCATGTTTTACCAATCAAGTAGTTTGGTGTTGCGTGGTTACCTGGGAAGGGGGCTTGGGTGTTGATGCCTTGTGGAATGATACGCAAAAAGGATTATAGCAGTGTGACTACAAGACGTTTATGCATTTGAGCATGATGTTTAGTGTGATGCCTTTGTTTTTTGCTGGGTTGCAGTTTTGGCATGGTGATGCTTGTGGTTATCACGGCGCGCAAGGCTGTGCACGTAACGGAGGACAACCAGATCAATCTGAAACAATGGGTGAGACACAGTGAACAGCATCATATCAATGCTGGCAGATGTTGCAACACAAGATATGAGAATTCCAACTGCACCACGAAATGAGTTTTGCTTACTTATATTAGATATTCATGGTATTCCTGTTACCCTTAGCCAAGCATATGTCGGCTGGATCATGTTCTCTTTTCCTACTTTCCCAACAGGACATATTCTGCAATGAGTAAGTCCAAGTTAAACAAAGACGAACACTTGACGTTTTGCCTCACCCTGTATATGTGATAGGATCACCTTCCTATGATGCTGCTTTCCGTCTTTGTAACACTAATATCCTATTATCATACAACGTTCCATCCTTCTCTATGTTGCCACGTTTGTACCATTCTTCACATGTTCTCTCTTGTAGAATTCTGTGAACCTCTTCCATGAAGTAATACCTTGTGTTATACATATTAAACCCCACAGGTGGCCCCCTTGGTGGACTCCAGTGCTGTATTGGCCTTTAAGGACCCCCACTTGGACGCACCAGATGACTTGGTGCTGCGCTGGGCTCGCCTTGCCCTCTCCTGCACCGCCATGCCTGCAGCCTCCCGCCCCTCCATGAATCAAGTGCTAGGGGAGCTGGTGAAGTTGAAGCAGGAGGCGTTCGGAGCACATGAGAGCCATGTGGGCGAGGCCGAATCTTGCATCTACATGGAAATCGGGAGTTCCATTGGCTCCTCCAGCTTCACTGCTGAAATGGCCCGTGCGGAGCGCGCGGGCATGCCAAGTGGCTCTTCCACGTAATCAATTATGTTTTCACATGCAACTTACTGGTTAAGTAGTGCTTCTGGTCTGGTAGCAGTTGGTTTGTGCCCGAATGAAAGCATATATGGAACAAATGGGCCTGTTGACAAAGGTTTTGGAATGGGTAATGGTATCACCTTGAAGCATGTAGTGTTTGGAGGACATGTGGATGATGTCATGTCTCGCATAGACAAGGAGGTTGGGAGTTCCGCTGGCTTCTTTGACTCCACTGCTGAAATGGCCCATGCCAAGCATGAGGCCATGCCAAATGGCTCTCCCGTATACTAGACTTTGTTTTTACTTGCACCCTACTGGCTTGACTTGCACTTTTGATATTGATGGTTCGTTCCAAATGAAGCCATGTATGTGGCGATGAGAAACATTGATAGGGGTTGATGGAGGGATACTAGTAGTGTCTCTGGGTGAGCACATCTATGGGACAGGAAAATTGGGCTGTGATGTATACTATAAGCAGCAATTATTACTTGTGATCTAAATTTGAGTCTCCTAGCTGTTGATTGCACAAACATCAAGCCTGCAAAACACTACAGAATGAACCTAGACATCTCCACATATATGACACAGCATCTCCTTATCCAACCCACATGTCTAACCTGCAACGAAGTGTTCCTGTGCATCCTAGGCATTGCATCTCGTACCCTCCACTCCTTGCATACTCCCTATTCTTCCCAGACCCCCATTCCCTCAATAGCCCTAATCCCTCTCCCCATACCCCTCACTCCTCTCATACTACGCCCCACTCCTCCCATACCCCTCACTCCTCTCATATTCCACACACCTCCCATGCCCCTCACTCCTCTCATATTCCCCACCCCTCACATACCCATCACTCCTCTCGTACCCACTCGTCCTATACCCTTCACTCCTCTCATCTCCAGCCCTCCCATACCCCTCACTCCTCTCATACGCCCCACTCCTCCCATACCCCTCACTCCTCTCATAAGCCTCGATCCTCCTACATCCACTCGACATATCCCCACTCCTCTTGTGGCCCTCCTCATGTTAGCCCCACTCCGCTCATACACCCTTCCCCATACACACCATCTCTCCTCTCATACCCGCACTCCCTTTGTATCCCCCATTCAACTCACACCAACCAGTCCTCTCATATACCCTCTCCTCTCTCTTATTCCCAAGCCATCCCATACTCCCCCCTTCTCTCATAACCCCTGCTTCTCTCATGCCCCTATATTCCTCTCATGCCCGCCTCCTCTCAACTCCGCCACTCCCCTCATACGGCCGCTGTGTCAAACATATGCCTATGTTATATTTGTGGGTAGGTTGTATTGGGGTAGACAATGTGGGGTATAACCCCTTAGGATTTACTTATTGTACCAATTTCTCTCCATAGTCAAACACACTCATTCCTAGTTCTTGAGATGGTATCTAGAGCAGTAGGTCCTTAGGCCCTAAGATTCGAGCCCACGGGTTACCGCGTTACCTCACCTACAGCCTTGCCTCCTGCCTTGCCTAACTGCCTGTCTTGCCTGCAGCCCGCAGCGCAGCCCGCGCGCAGCCCGCTGCAGCCTCGCGCACAGCCCGCAACCGCGCGCATCCCGCCACCGCGTGCAGCCTACAGCCGCGCGCAGCCCGTCGCCACTGCGCAGCCCACAGCCGCACGCAACCCGCAGCCGCGCGCAGCCTGCAGCCGCGCGCAGCCCGTCGCCACGCGCAGCCCGCAGCCACAGCGCAGCCCATCGCCACACCGCAGCCCGCAGCCGCGCACAACCTGCCCCCACGCGCAGCCGGTTGCCGCGCGTGCCCTGCCCCTACGCCGCCCGTCGCCGCTGCGCCCTTCCTACCTTGCGCCTGCCTGCCTTGCGCCTTGCCTGAATTGCGCCTGCCTGCCTTGCGCCTACCTGCCTGAAGTGCACCTTGCCTAAAGTTTGCCTACGGCCTATTCCTGCTGCCTTTGCCTACTGCTCTTGCCTTCGCTGCTATAATGACGACACTTAATGTTCTCGCGTTTGAGCCTGGCGGTTACCCCATAGAGTTCGCCACTTAGCTTGACGATCTGCAGCTGTTTCTTATGACGGATGCCAAAGACGGCGTTTCACTGTTCGATCACGCGTCTGGCACTGCCGCTGCTACCGGTGACACTGCTACTGTCAGAACATTGTAGCTTATGCATTTTGTGTAGGCTGTAGTGGGGTATCCCATAAGGGGTACAACCCAATTAGGGTTAGTACTTGTACCCACTTGTTTCATAGTTCATTCATTCTCGTTTCTTCTCATGGTATCGAGCAGGTTCCCTAGCGGGAACGATTCCTAGGGCCCACCACTACGAAATTTTTTTCTTGCCCGGAGCGCGCTCCGCTCAGGCCCGAGTCGCGCTCCGTGTGCTCTCCCTACTGTCGCGCCCTTGCTAGGCCCCTCACGGCCCGTCGCGTCGCCCTTAGCGGCCCTCTTACGGCCCGTCGCGCCGCCCTTACGGCCCGTCGCGCCGCCCTTCTGGCCCGTCACGCCGCCCTTCAGCGGCCCCGTCGCGCCGCCTCTTTCGCGGCCCCGTCGTACCACCCACAGCGGCCCGTCGCCGCCCTCCACCTACAGCCTCGTCGCCGCCTCTTCAACGGCGTCACCGCCTCCCCTTACGGCCCGGTGCCGCCTCTCACAGCGGCCTCGTCGCCGCCTCTTACAGCGGCCCCACCAACCCAGCGTGGCGCCTTAGCGGCCTCTTGCGCCGCCCGTCGGCCCCGCGTGCCGCCATTGCGGCCCTTCGAGCCGCCCGTCGGCCCGCCGTGAGCCGCCCTAGCGACATCGACGCCGCCCCTCCCGGCCCCGACGCCACCTCGGCGGCCCCGGCACCGCCCTTCACGGCCCCGACACCACCTTCCCGGCCTTGACGCCGCCTTCCCGGCCCCGCCGCCGATCCACCTGGCCTCGTTGCCGCTCCACCTGGCCCCTCGAGCCGCCTTCTGCGGCCTCCTCACGGCCCCACCTGCCGTCCCTGAGTCAGGAGCCGCCGCCGCTGAGCCGCCCAACAACCGAGCCGCCGGGCCGCCAAGCCGCCCAGCAGCCGAGCCGCCGAGCCGCCCAGCAGCCGCGCAGCCGAGCCGCTAAGCCGCCGAGCCGCCCAGCAGCCGAGCAGCCGAGCCGCAGAGCCGCCAAGCCGCCCAGCAGCAGAGCCGACGAGCCGCCCAGCAGCAGAGCAGCCGAGCCGCCGAGCCGCCGAGCCGCCCAGCAGCCGAGCCGCCGAGCCGCCCTGCAGCCGAGCCGCCCGCACCGCCGAGTCGCCCGAGCCGCCCTGTCTGGTAAGAGCAGCGCCTCTACCCCTGCACTGCTCTTACCCTACTGTTCGCGCTGCTAGTCTACTTCTGTCATGGCTACCCCTAGTGTCCTCGCTTTTGACGCCCGGGGTAGTGCCATTGACTTTGACGTCTGGGTAGATGACCTGCAGCTTTTCTTACAGTGCGATGGGGCAGATGGCCTCTCCCTCTTTGACCTCACTTCTTGTGCCTCTCCTGCCCCCGCTGCTAATGCTGACGCCACTGTTCGCTCACAGTGGGCCACGCGCGATGCTGCTGCACGTCTTGCTGTGCGTCGCCACCTCCCCTACCTCTGAGCGTGCACACTTTAGCCAGTACAAGAGTGCTTAGACCTTGTACGATGCTGTAGTTGCACGCTACTCCTCCCCTGCCACTGCTGCACTGAGCCGCCTCATGCTACCGTACCTCTTCCCTGACCTTGCTGCCTTTCCCACACTCACTGACCTCACTACGCACCTCCGCACTAGTGACATTCGCTACCGCACTGCGCTTCCTGCTGAGTTCTGCGCCAAGAACCCTCCCCCCATGTACATCACCCTCTACTACATAGTCGCCCGTCTCCCTGACACCCTCCGCGTAGTCAGGGACCACTTTCTCTCTGTGTGCCCCACCACTCTCACCGTTGACCTCCTCGAGAAGGCCCTCCTAGTGGCACAGAAGAGCATAGTCGCTGTAGGAGCCTCTCGTGATGACCCCCGCACCCCCGTCTTTGAGGGGTGTTCTCCCTCCCCCCTCTTGCCCTCTGTTGCTTCTGCTGTTGCGGCCGACCTCGTTGGTTTCGAGTCGGTCGGCGCTACGTCTGCCCCTTCGGGGAAGCGCCGCACAGGCAAGGGCAAGGGGGGCAAGGGCGCTGGAGGAGCTAGCGGGGGCGGTGGAGGTGGCGGTGGAGCTGGCGGAGGGGGTGGGGGTGGTAGTGGGAGTGGTGGCGGAGGTGGAGGTGTCGGTGGCGGCAGTGGAGGCGGAGGCGGAGGCGGCGGTGGCGGTGGGAGCGGAGGTGGCGGAGGTGGCAGCGGAGGAGGAGGCGGAGGCGGAGGAGGTGGAGCTGGTCGGGGTGGCGCTCCGCAGAGGGGCGGCTCCGGTGGTGGTCAGCGCTAGCAGCAGCAGCAGCAGCAGCGCACTCGTGACATCCCCCCCCCCCCCCCCCCTCAGCAGCTCCGTGAGTGGTACGCTGCACGCCAGCGGGGTGGGGGTACTGGTTCGTGCACCTACGTCCTACGCACCGGCGACCGTGCGAGTGAGCAGTGTGGGGGTGCGCACCCCACCCAGCGCTGCTTTACCCTCGCTGTACTTTACCCTCTACATCCTCGTCACCCACCTTCCTGACACCCTTAGCTTGGCCAGGGACCATTTCCTTGCCAAGGACCCTATCACTCTCGACGACTTCGAGCAGCAGCTTCTGGCAGCAGAGAAGAACATTCTAGCTGTAGGTGCTACTTGTGGCACTCCCCGCACTCCCCACTTCGACGGGTGCTCCCCCTCTCCTCTTGCCCCCTCCTACGCCTCAGCTGCTGCTGCAGTCGACCTCCTCAGTGCTGAGAAGGTCGCAGCGGCTTCCGCTCCTAGTGGGAAGAGCGGCGGTGGCACGGGCGGCAAGGGTGGCAGGGGTGGTGGAGGTGGCGGCGGAGGGAGCGGTAGTGGAGGTGGCGGGGGTGGTGGAGGTGGTGGGGGTGGTCGTGGGGGTGGAGGAGGTGGGTGGGGCGGCGGTGGGACAGG